GCACAAGGCCAGATGATGAGTATTGAACTGCCTTTCATTGTCAACAGACAAATAGCTTACCACTCTAACCGCTGACGACAAAACATTAAGTCTAATGTCGTTTTGTTTATTTATTGAACTTTGATTTACACAAGGCGATATATGAGAAGCATCCAGTCAGGATCGAACTAATTACATTATTATTATTATTATTATTATTATTATTATTATTATTATTATTATTATTGTATGACCAGATCGCTGATGAATTCTTGTTTTGCTTTTGTCTTTTAAATTGATGCTGAATTTAACATACTTTTTTCTTCTTTTATTTTCGGACTAGCTATGTGTCGAATTTTATTTACGAATTGAAATATCGTTTTATGGGATGAACAATTGTTTTTGCGTTTTTGTTTTTTACTTTTTTGTTCACACTGTAATACACCATTTTAATGCCTTCTCAAAGAGCCAAAATGCACCAGGGTATATAGAGCGTGTGAAGTGAGGTGTATTAGAAGAATAATCATTAAATCATGAGTGTCGACGCCATAAGTCAGCTCAAAGTAGACACGATAGCTTTTGAGATAAGCCTCAATCATTTGCCAGATCCTTCCGGCTCATCGATTTTTTACCGAACGGATAACACATGCAGAATTTCTCACAGGAAGTAAGTTTCAAATATGTCGGTTAAAGTCGTCAGAGTTTGGAACATTGGCTCATGCTGAAATACAAACCAAATTTTAGTCCAGGAACTGAATTAAAAATTTTGATCAGCGTCAGAAAAAAAATGTAATTAGTTTTCTAAATAATTATCTTTTTGACATTTTTCTCTATAATTTTTCTTCTCTATTAGTTTAATTGTTTTCCTTAAGTTTATATATTACATTACTAGTTAAGACCTTGTTTTTAGTCCTCCAATTGCACAAAATATTATTATTGTGCTTATTACTATTATTATTATTATGTTACTGCTCTTGTTGTGTTGACTATATTTGTATAGTTTTCCTTTCAACAGTTCCTTAATTGTAATATTATATATATATATATATATATATATATATATATATATATATATATATATATATATATATATAATATATGTATGTATGTATATATGTATATATATATTAAAAGTAGAGAATCCGTAAACGTTTTTGTTTGTATATTTTTTTTTAAATATAGGAAATACAATAAGATAGCCGTTTTTTGATTTTTTGTAATGTGTATTTTTTAAATATATCAAATACAAAAAGATATATATTTAAAAATCCACATACAATCAAAAACGTTTGGAATACTTAAAATTTTAATATATATTACTTTTCTCGTTGTTTTTTTTTATAACCTCTTCCCCAATATATATATATATATATATATATATACAAAAATGTGATGAAAAGTTCTCCGCACGAAATAAATTTCAAAATGATATATATGACCTGTGGTTTGTGTGTCATTTTAAGTTAATTATAATTGCTTGTAAAACATGGAAAATATAATAATCGCAAATTAACAAAGTAACAACACAAAAACAAAAAAAAAACACCCCCCCACCAATTGCAACTACGATCATGACTACAATTTTACTGGCTGTATTCCAGAATTCAAAATATATCTACACTTCAGCAACATACACATCATTTTATAGCACTTATACACCACTTACAACAACACAACAAAAATCACTGAAAACGGCTATTAGAATTAGCCGAAATGTCTCGGAACGAATAATCATTTGGACAATTTCTGCGCAAATTAAGTAAACAAAGTTCTCTTGATGACATACAAGAAAAACAATAACAAATACACACACACATGCACACACAGACACATGCACACACACACACACACACATATATATATATATATATATATATATATATATATATATATATATATATATATATATATATATATACATATTTGTATATTTGTATAGAGAAATATTGATATTATTGTTGTGTTGACGGGTTCAACCATTTCCTTTTAATTGCTTGATACAGTTGTATACGTTGGCTTGGGTGATGCAATACCGTTTTCTAAATTCTTCTAGTTGCTAAGGACATTTTGTTTCGTTGTTAATAGCTGCTTTGTTTTTAATAAATTCATTCCGATTTTTAATTGAAAAAGTATCCATTGGACGTAACGCGTCGTCTAATAATACAGTTTTCCCATTGCCTTTTACCTTTATACATATTGTCTTTTCCTACAATTTAGCTGTGAGAAACATACACACACACACACACACACACATATATATATATATATATATATATATATATATATATATATATATATATATATATATATATATGAATAAATATATGACTAAATTGATTGGTTAGTTTTTGCAGGTTATTTAATGCCAGCAAATATTTTTAAACTGTAAGAATTCAGGTGGATAATAATGATTTACTGATACAAATCCTACTAATTAACCCATATCTAGGGGTAGAAGATTTAGATTCATACTGTTATCAAGGGTATTTGAGCGTAAATGAAAATAACGAACTTGACTGGATTCCTCTGATTTCAAATTCCGACCCATTATCCTTACACCACCGGCACATCCAATCTTTCAGCACTTGGTATTCCCACGCGGTCACCCATCTAGGCACTGACCAGGTTCGATTTGAGGATCGTACGGGAACCGTTGTTTCGACGTGATATAGTCGTAAGCCTGTATGTGTAATGTTAAATGACAAACTGACAAAATTGTAAATATAATATATAAAACAAATTTATTTTATTTTATCAAGTCTCATTGATTACCATGAGATTTTATCAGCTGTTTGTTTTTCCATTGCTTAACACATCCTTCATTGTTTAATTTACTGGCAAAAAAGGGGGAGAATTGGAATAGTATATTTTCGTATATTGAACCGAGTAGACTCATAAATTATAATGTTTTCAATGCATCTTTGTCTGAGTGAATTATATTGACTTTTTATTAAAAGGCGTTTTCCAACTCAAAATTGTTCCCTCGAAATATTCAGTGGTACACAAATGTGTTTTTTTAAATTAAGCCTCGTGATTATACAGTTTTCTTTAAGAATGGGTATTAAGTTTCGCTATTATGTTTTATAGAGAGCATTGATAACATTCTAATTGTAAACTGCCTACTTTTGATGTAAAATTAACTGTATTAAAAAAAAAATGAGTCGACCGTAGTCGGGATCATCGAATCAATGCGAACGATCCTTTCCTTAGCCGCATCGTATGTGCTTCACCAAGGCTACATACAGTTCTGAATTCGGAGTTTTCCGTCTCCTAAACCGGTTACCACGAAAGGCTATAGAACCCAGTCATTTACTCAGAGCTTGGGTGAGAAGAGTTGGTCTCATACCTTTCACAAAGTTAGTATATGTAATAAACTTAAGTGGAATCCGTCTCTCTAATTCCTCAACCCGAGTTGCAGTCCATTACTCTATTGCGCGGGTTAAATTTTTACTGTTCTTGTAGCATTTGTGATAATTGTTCTTTACTTCTTCCACGTTAAATAATTATGGAGACTTTAGGTAGTATAATGTACTTACGTTTTTTGTGTTGCCATTCGCAGTGGCTTCATCTTTCTTTTTGTTCGATGTTGTACGCTTTTCTTTTGACATTGTATCTTAAATAATTGACACAGTGGAGAATTTTAATTTTTTTTTTCAATATATATTTCTTCATCAGATATATATTCATAGCTGCAATTTCTAAATAAAAACCTAACATTATTTCAGATTTTATAATATTGTAAGGGTGACAAAAAAATTTACTAAGATCGTTTTTATTTTTCGTTTACGGTAATACTGTGTAGTGAAAGAGATTTTCAGCGTTCATATGATGTGGCGAAAGGAACGATTTTTAGAAGGCGTAGGCTAGTGAATGCGATAAGCTAAAGTTAGAACATAGAAAACGAGCAATTTTCTTAAAGGATTATTTTGACTTGTCTTTTTTTATTGTGTATTTTATTGTCTTTTCTCATGGTATTTTTCTAAACAAAAAAGTTGTATTTTTTATTTCAAATTAATTGTTGTGGTTTTTTTTATCACGTCTACTCAGACCCTCAGTCTATAACCATTAAAAGATTAAACTTAATCATCTTCCAGACATCGTGATCTTGGAGATCAATCTCGAGAAAAGCCATTATGGAAAAACTGGCTTTCCGAAGTAAAATTCATGCCTGTTTTCGTTTTACTGAGAACTTAATTTCCATTTCTGATCCACACTGTAATGATCATAAAGTGGTGGTCTGAGTAGTTGCGATAAAAATCAACTAAAACTAAGACAAAAAAAATACTAAAATTGGTTAAAAAGACAGACATCAATATACTAATCAAAACCTAATAATGTTTTATCATATAAAAAATTCAAGATATCATTCTTTATATTTTGTTACTGCAATAGTGTTTAATCTGTTCCATTCTCTGTCTTTAAGCCGATCAAAATATTGCAAAATGGACACCCATTGTTATCAACAGGAAGAAAAATCATGAATTCTTTTGTAATAGAATATCATGAGTTTCTAATTGAAGAAGTTTGACAGTATAATTCTACCATCATTGGTATTTCTCATTCTTTAAAGATTTCTACAGAGAGTGTAAAACAAGGCAATTGGAGAAAAACAAATACAAGGGTAGCGAATGGTATTGTCAATTGTGACGGGAACAAATTGCAAAATAAACTATTTGAATACAAACGTGTTCTTTCTTGTTTTTTCATGTTTTTTTCTTTTTTTCTTTTTTCTTTTTTTGATTTTTCATATATATTTTTATAAAGAACAACAGTATATTGATTAATTGATTCGTTTTCCACGGCTTATTAACCCTTTGCAGCCAGAAAATATCTTTTCTATTCCAAGAATTTTTTTAGATAATAATGATTTGCTAATTAACCCATATTTGTTAGAGAAGTGGTGCATTCCCAAGGTTAAGGTTACCCTTAAGTTGATATAACGAACCCAACGAGAATTGGAATTCGACTCAACGATTAACAATTCCGAACCATTATCCATTACACCATCCGCACATCCAAGTTTACAGCACCTAGTATACTCAAGGAGTCACCCATTTAGGTACTGACCAAGCTAGACGTTGCTTAACTTCAGCGATCATACGGGAACCGGTGTTTCAACGTGATGCGGTTGTGTGTGTGTGTGTGTGTGTGTGTGTGTGTGTGTGTGTGTGTTATAAGCCACATGATTAATCGAAATTATGAAGTCGGTTTGCTCGGGGGGACAAATGAGACATGAGACCCGGTTTGCCGCTCTTCTATCCTAGAACAAACAAGAGAAAAAGAAAATGAGTCTTACTCTTACGGCACTAACTGCTACGCCATCTAGCGGTCGTTGAACGAAATACATTGGCAGACAAAGTAGGGTAATCCCACGCGTGAAACTAAATAAAAGAAAATCCAGTTTATTTATTCAATTACTTATAAGCAGTACTTTTTTACAGTTTACTACTCATAAGTCATAAAACAAAGTAGAACATTTTATTCTTATTGTCTCAGACTTTAATGCAGCTTAAATATTTCAATCAGGACAAGGATCCAAATTAAGCTACTAGTTTGGACACTCTTCCAAATTACAATCTTCGTTTGCCTTTTGATCGATTCTGAATAAGATTTTAGAAAGATAAAAAAAATTCTATTAACACAATTTTAAAATAAAGCAATACTTTCCCAAACATTAGCATGCAGAACAAAACAATGAATTATTTTATATTTTGCAATTCGTTTTTTTTCGGGTTTTTTTTGCGTAATCTTCCTGTATTTAACTCAGAAAAAAACAAACCAAAAGGTCTATCCATATACCAGGAGAAAGTATTTATGACCACAGAATTATTTGCACGTGAAGAAATACTCCCTTATGCAAATTTATAACCAGCCAATGACTAACAGCATTTAACGGCGATTTTATGAATTAAATTTTATGCATTATATGGGGAATAGAACAAGAGATATAATTGCCAACCGGATGTAGAGGGTGTAACAGCAAAATTGTCTAAATAGTGTAAAAGAAAAATTGTCCATTTGTTAAATTAAGCTTTAAATCGTTGTATGTTCGAAATGATTAAAAATATATCACTGAAATTTTTAGTTTTTATAATACTATTGAACTCTACTTTGAGCAATAAGAACCTATAATTACTCCCCAAGCTTAACCAAGAAATCATGATGAAATCGATCAAAAAACGAAAATGATATGTTCATCATTAATTAATCATAACTAAGGATCGGAAGCTCATGAAGGATTGAAATTAAGTTCAAATATTTGTATTATTCCAGGATCATTTTCCAACTTATTCATGATGATCTTTGCCTTCTCTAACCTTCTAACTTTCTGTCCTGGACTAACAAAGTGACTCACGTGTTTTATTTACGATTTCATTTTCAAGCCTTTTTTCACTGCTTTCTCACATACCAAAAGTCTTATGTGTTGAGTTGGATCTTTTCTAATTGATCTCTTTAGCTCTAAGTTGAAATGATGATCCTTCTTCCTGTTGGGATCCAGTTTTCCTCTCTACTGTTCCCTTTGTTTTAAACTTATTCACCGTTCTCTTGATGGTTCTTGAATGGATTTTGAAGATAGAAGCCAGATTATGAATGTTCGTACAATTACTGGAGGCCTGAATGATCTTTTTTCTCTCTGCATTGCTTATTTGGGAAGACATATATATATATATATATATATATATATGTGTGTGTGTGTGTGTGTGTGTGTGTGTGTGTGTGTGTGTGTGTGTGTGTGTGTGTGTAAATAGCAGGGCAGACTGGTTTCTATTGCCTTGCATTGCACCTGGTCTAGGAGAAGTACAACTCTGAATTCAAAACCTGCAGAGGGTCGTTTGGGGACCATATGGCTCTTAGTTTACCAGGTTTGTGTATTCGGCTTTTCAAAAAGTATGGTTGGTTCTGCACAAAGCCTTCACCACTATAATCAACACATACGTGCTTGTGGTTGGGTTGTCAGTTCTAAGGAACTGGGCTGCTTGACCATCATACTTGAATACGACGGGAGAATCCACCACACACACACACACACACACACACACACACACACACACACACACATATATATATATATATATATATATATATATATATATGTGTGTGTGTGTGTGTGTATGTATGTATGTATACACTACAGTTCATAAGTCTGAGGCTGTTCCTGGTATTTTTTTAAATTGGCCCAAAATGTAGTTGTTTTGTACTTTCTCATGAATCTTTTCTTTTATTCAACTTCAGTCGAGATCCTAGTGCCCACAACACCCCCCAGTTAATTGTTAAAGTCATAGTCTTTTATCTTTATAGTATACGCTATATACATTTCTTATTACTATATACGCTACGAGTGCTTGAGGAATCGTATTTGCTTTTTAAATAGTATATTTTCATCTACCCGAGTTTTTCAAAAGTGAGAGTGTGGAGGCGGCAGTGGTACGTATGATTAAAATTGTACAAGAAAGAAATAATTAACTATACGCATATCTACATTTGTCTTTTTTATGCAAGAATTTACATTCTAACATATTCTTAACATAAACTTAATTCAGCTGTGAATACCAAATAGCAATCCTGAAGACCGAACATTTTACGTTGAATATTTGATATCAAAATTCAGTTAATAAATGAGGGAGGTGAGATATCTATTGATTTCGACTAAGATATAGCTGAGATACGAAACGTGCAAGCCATAACTTTCATCAAGGCTAAAACCGTTTCTATACCCACTAATACTTATGTATTCACACGGCTGCCTCATCAACAATTATTCTAAAGTCTTATTACTGACATGTCACAGCGTTTAAAAGAGACAAGTCGATGAGTGAGCAAACTGATTTGCCATACATATTTAACGACTGAATACCGAGCAACAAAAGATGTTATATCCATTATCAGTTTTGATGAAGTTCCCAATGAGGCTTTAATGCATTATAAACTTTAACAATGAGTGTGTTTTTCTAACTCTATGGAATCAGTCTTAGATGATGATGCTAATGATGATGATTATGGTGATGGCGACGATGGAACGGTAAAGAGAAAATAAAGCTCGCTGGAAAGGCGGTAGCGTAGAAGCAGACGACGCACCACTAAAAAAAAAAAAAAAAAAAGAGAATTGGAAGGTAAGTGAGTGGATTGGTGGGTGAGAGAAGACAAGTTGAGGCAGTAAGAGGCTGAGATACAAGCGACGTGAGGCGGGCTGTGGGGCGGGTGGCGAGAGTGTGTGGGCAAGGAGTATCTGAGTGAGGCGAACAACACTGAAGGCGAAAACTGGAGTAATTATATTTCCGCCATTTCAGATTTCTATCAGTGGCTGACAGCGCGACAGAGACTCGTTATTATTACCCATATACCAGGTTACCTTGCACTGTCATCACAGATGCACAAAAACAGAGGCGAGAAACACACACACACACACAAATATAGAGAGAAAAAGCTGCCGAGAAAATATACATACACAGATATATTCACACACACACACACACACACACATATATATATATATATATATAAACATGTCTGTGTGTACACCCGCTACTCCTTATAAATATATGTGTGCCTATATATTTCCACATGAACAAGATCGTTCAGATATATTTGTATTTGCATATATATATATATATATATATATATATATATATATATATATATATATATCGTTTTAAATATATATATATATATATATATATATATATATATATTTGTATACACACACAAAGACACACACACAGACACACACAAATGCACACAAACACACACATATATATATCTATATATATATATATATACATGGGATATATATATATATATATATATATATATATATATATATATATATATATATATATATATATATATATGGGATAACGATATATAAATTTTTATATATCAAGAACAATTTGGGACGAAAGATGTATGACAAAGTGGAAAATGTTTTCATGTGACGCGTATCGTCCTTTAAGACTTTATCGGACTAAATTTGTTTGCGTCGATGCGACTGCACATGCGCACGGACGGGAGACGCTGGGTATTTTAATGTGATTTGGGTATATAATATCCCACATTGTGATAACAGAAGATCTGCTAAGAATAGTGAAACATTGTAAGAACCTGGTCGCAAATTTACTGTGGATGAGCCAGGGATAAAAGAAAAAAACTATCTAAATTAAATTGGCTAAAGCTATTTTTAATCATTTTTTTTTTCTAAATTAATAATTCCCAGTATCTTTCGTTCATGCACATGTGCAGTTGTATCAAAATAAACAAACGAAATCCGATGAAGTCCTATACACACACACACACACACATATATATATATATATATATATATATATATATATATATATATATATATATATATATATATATATATATGTGAAAAGTGTATATAAATATAAACAAATATATATATGTATAATTATTTATATATTATATGCGCGGTACTTATTAGAAAGCGCTCAATATCAGAGATAGAGCTAACATATTTGGTTAGATAGATGTGAGTTTGTGACCCTGGGTTTCACGCTTTAGCGATCGTCAGACAAACTGATTAATGTTTTAAAAAATTTGGGTTTATGTAGATTGCGTGTATTGGTGTTATTGTGGAAGTGGTGGGGGAAATTTCGTCGTTTTGTCATTCATCGTACTAACGCAAACATCGATGTATGCAGACACATATACATACTTGGTCGAAAAACCCGAGACATTCAACTTTAATACAAAAAAGTGTCCACCAATATGCAAGAAAATGTTAAAATTCGAAGAGGACATGATAAATATAGTTAGAACCTTTGAAATTCAAAAGACACTTGGACAATTTCCAGAAAAAATCATAGACGACAGGAAAAAATAATCAACTCCAACAAAGGTAAACATTTTGGCTGACAAAACCACAAACATATATACTATAGAACCTACAGCCTACAATCAACTCTTAACCAACAAAATTACACAACTATACAAAAAAAAAACAAACATGAACACAATAAACATTATAAACCAAGAAGCCAAAACATAGCCACCAAATTGAATATAGATGAAAGAGTAAACAAACTAGCTGAACAACATGCTTTCATCACGCCAAAGGACCACAAAGCCAGCTTCATAGAAAAACCCACATTCAGACTAATTAACTCGGCGAAGAGCGAGATAGGAAAAATTAGTAAGAAGATCCTAGAAAATATCAACACCACCCTAAGAGAAAAATTAGGTCTCAACCAGTGGAAGAACACCAAAGCCATCATAAAGTGGTTTAAAACGATAGACAACAAGAATAAATCCACTTTCATCCAATTTGACATTGTGGATTTTTATCCTTCCATTACAGACAGCATATTAAATGAAGCCATACAACTGGCACAGCTAAATGTAAAACTCACGGACGGTGATATAAAAATAATCAAGCATTGCCGCAAATCCCTGCTGTTCCACAACAATGAACCATGGGCAAAGAAACAAAACCACAACCTGTTTTACGTAACAATGGGCAACTACGATGGAGCAGAAATATGCGAATTAGTAGGCATACTCATCCTATCATACCTGGCCAAAATCCTGGAGAGAAAGGACACAGGATTATACAGAGATGACGGTCTTATCTTAATAAGGGAATCCAATGGCCCCAAAGTAGACAAATTCAGGAAGAAAATAGTGAACGCCCTAAAAAACATTGGATTCAAAATAGAGATAAATACAGGCACAACAATAGTAAACTTCCTTGACGTCACTCTTAACCTGATCAACAACACGTATGAACCATACAAAAAGAAAATGACACCCCAACTTACGTACACACATCCTCCAACCATCCACCTTCTATCATCAAACAAATACCAAAATCAATCAGCCGCAGACTATCTGAGAACTCATCTAACACACACATTTTCAATAGCAAAAAGCACCCTACAACGAAGCACTAAAAGCAAGTGGTTACACACAACAACTACAATATATACCTCCACAGCCAAAACGCAGAAACAGAAAGAGAAACATTATCTGGTTTAATCCACCATATAATAAAACTGTTAAAACGAACATAGGCAAAATATTCCTAAACTTAATAGAAAAACACTTCACTGAAGAAAACAAATTATCAAAAATACTTAACAAAAAATAACGTAAAGATCAGCTACAGCTGTACAAAAACATAACAGAAATAATTAAAAGCCACAACAACAAAAAAAATGACAACCTACAAAAATGTAACCAAGGATCCAATATGCAACTGCAGAAACAGAACAACATGTCCACTCCAGGAAATTGCCAACTTACGAACACTATATACATGGCCAAGGTAAGTACAAACAACAACACTATGCACTACATAGGTGCCACCGAAGGCCCATTCAAAATGAGGAATAACAATCACAACCTTTCATTCAACAACAGGAAATATTCGAACAGCACAACACTTTCTACATACATATGGCAGCAAAAAGATAAAAAACATCACACCAACAATAAGTTGGGAAATATTGAAAAAAGCCCCTGCCTACAACAACATTACGAAAAAATGCCTACTTTGCCTACACAAAAAGTAGCAATAATATCACACAAACCGCAAAAGAACTTACTAAACAAAAAATCAGAGATAATCTCCAAATGTAGGCATGAGAACAAGTACCTATTATCCGAATTCATACCAAACGGATAAAACAGACAAACCACCAACAATCACAATTTAATTTCAAGATGCCATCAAAATAATTGCATCTATCATTATTACAATTGCACCACCATTAGTAATCACTTTTACTACAATACCTTTTAACTAACAATATTATCATTACCACCAACGCACAGCACCATCACTTACACATCACACCCACTATTAACATATAATCCACTACAATCTTTATTACTCCCCCACCATATTTAATACCTTAAAACAATATGATCAGATATAATTTCCATATGTAACCATGAGAATAAACACCTATTACCAGGCAGCTTTAATATAATAACAATAATAATTTTGTAATTAAAAATTAAAAATTATAGCAATCTCCAACTACCATAATTTTACACAGAATACCTATTATCAGGATTTATACCAAAATAAATTAATACATATAACAAAATAAAACAAAATAAAATAAAACACCAACAACCACTTTTTAGTTCAAGCTACCACCACTATAACTACATTCATGGTTTTATCATTCTCCCACCACCGTTACTAATCATTTCTACCAATTTACAATTTCTACCAATTTACAATAACTATTAGCTAACTATCATTGTCTCCAATCCCTTGAAACATTACTATCACATCGTACCATATAAACCCGTTATTAAATTGAACTCCCCTCTCACCCAGCACATTGAATATTAAACTAAACATCACCATATAAATTAACCAATAAGGATTACAAATTTCTACCTGTTACATATACACAGTCACCAAAAACAAACAAATAACCAGCTTTAAATATAACAAATAAAGCCCCATTTTTTTTTTCAAAAATTTAAAAAAAAATATAAATAATAATAATCTTTACCTATCATAATTTTACACAAACCCCACCACACGCATATACATACATGCGAGGAAATATTTTCCAGCTGGAAAATACATATGACATGTACACATCAACGAGAGATTTCCGTCACACTTCCAATGTTTAGATTTCAACATTTCAACATAAAAATACGTATGTATAGATATAACACCACCCGTATACATACATGTGTCATAGCCGAAACTGCCCACATATGTTTATATATGTATGAGTCCCGACGGACGACCAAGTATGTATATGTGTCTGCATACATCGATGTTTGCGTTAGTACGACGAATGACAAAACGACGAAATTTCCCCCACCACTTCCACAATAACACCAATACACGTAATCTACATAAACCCAAATTTTTTAAAACATTAATCAGTTTGTCTGACGATCGCTAAAGCGTGAAACCCAGGGTCACAAACTCACATTTATCCAACCAAATATATATATATATATATATATATATATATGATCCAGCCCTCTCTAATTTTCTTAGTCTTACAATGTTGTAGTAAAAAGTCCTCGTTCTAACCACGATGAGTTTTTCCATTTAGGAAGTGGATTGAGCCATCACCGTTATAAAAGCCCACATATGCCGAAACCTCCTGAAGATCAAATTATATATATATATATATATATATATATATATATATATATATATATATATATATATATGCGATTTATATATATATTATATATGTGCGGACCTTATTGAAAGCGCTCAATATCAGTGATAGAGCTAATCAATCAGTTTGCCTGACGATCGCAAATAGCATGAAACCCAGAGTCAAAAACTCACATCAATCCAACTATATATATATATATATATATATATATATATATATATAGAGAGAGAGATAGATGGATATATGTCAACAGACTTAGATAGATAGATAGATAGATAGATAGATAGATAGATAGATAATCAAAGAAACTTAGATAGATAGATAGATAGATAGATAGATAGATAGAGAAATAGATAGATAGATAGATAGATAATGAAGAAACTGAGATAGATAGATAGATAGATAGATAGATAGATAGAAACAGTGCAGATATAAGAATTAGTAATTCTGACAGTTTCACTCCTTAACCGATTACAAACTATATAATGTGCTGTGATGTTATGAAGGTAGCTCGTGAAAAATACTGAGTTGCCCACATAGTCTCTCTCTCTCTCTCTCTCTCTCTCTCTCTCTCTCCATCTTTATATATATATAGATAGACAGGGAGATAGAATATAGTTTTAAGGTATGCTATATTTATAGGGTAAAAGTGCTCAACTTCCGAGATAGAGCGTGTGTAAATATAAGAATTCTAGAAGTATGTTAGTCATTGGCGCATTCCGAGTTGAAAGACTTTACTCGCTATAATGCCCCAATGACTAGCGATAATCCAACTGACCTGAGAATATCGTTCAAGCATGAAACAGATTGTTGCCCCTCAGTGTTGACATCAGTGTCAACAATTCTTATATACGTATGTATATGCATATATACTAACTTGAAATAAAATTACGACCTTCTGGATATCTGCTATAGTTTACGCAAAATAAAACCTACGGTAAATATAGCTGAATACTGGTAAAATTCGTGCAAAGTTTCCAAAATAATTGTGTAACAAAAGTAGGCAAACGCCATATTGATACATTGGTTTGTCATCTTTAAATATTTCTTGCGAACTGAATCAGTTAATCTCATCATGTCTTATAAATGATCAATGGGAGACAAGATTGGCGATCGTGACAGCCAAGGATGTTGTCGGACATTATGCGGGGCATGTTGAGTAGCAAGGTGAGCATACTAGCGAGCAATATTCTGCTAGAATAGAACTTCGTGTTCTGGTTTGAATGAATGACAGGAAAACGGTATGGACAATGATATGGGGGCACATGACACGTTCAACATTTTCATTGCAAATACCAAAAGCGAGCGAGTATTTTAACTGATAGCATCTCAAACCGTGATTTCAGGAAGATGTCGCTCCCCAGCTTTACGTCAGACCCGAAACGACCAAGAAGGCAGAATCTGCTTTCAACAAAAAACACGGCAGAGCAACATTTAATCCTCAGTTTGAGCCTAGAAAATTAACGGGTTGCTTCAAGAATCGTGAGCTCAATCCATTGGACAAGTAATGATAATCTTAACTGTTTTCTTACTTAGAACCATTCGGTATTTATTGACCGAACAGCCAGTGCAACTTTCGGTTGAAATTTATAAAATATTTCTACTAAAACAATTTTTCAGAAAAATAGATTTTTCAAGTCCAGTATCTGTTATCGCTCTTTCTTGTACTGATGGGCGTTTCCTTCCTAACCTTTTATTTGAAGTACTGTGGAACATCAACATTTTGATCATATTATTATTCTTTCTTCAGCTTACATATACTATCCATTTTATTTTTTTGCTGCTGTTGAAAGTCCTCAAAGGATTTTTTTCTATTATAAGGCGCAGTTCTTTGTTTGTGATCCTGTAGCGCAAGTCCACGAGGTTCGCTCTCATCTACAGGCTTTATTCGCTCGAAGACATTTTTAATCATTGATCTTGGAAAGCGGTTCTCTACAGTTCAGTTGATAGTTTAGATATATCTGAACGGGTTTGGCGCCATGCATGGCATCCATATGAAAGTCGCGGTCTGACGAGACTATTTAAGAATATGACTCAAGTCATTAGGTTAATGTTTTGTTTTTGTAGCAATTAGCGGTATAGAGGGAAACTACCCTCTGTTCAATTTCCTTATCTCTTACATTAAATTTGTTATAAGCGATCCATGAGCACCCATCCCCATAGAAATATAAACTCATTAGCCTACCTTCCCTAACAAATACTTTGAGTCTATAAACAACAAATTGTTGTTTGAACACTTCAAGAGAAACAACCCCCTGAATGACAATTAGTATTGATTTCGCTATGCTAGGCCCACTGCTGATGTCAACTGCCATTACTCACAGAATCTGGGAAGCACTAGACAAGAAATACATCATAAGGATGGGTGCCTTAGATTCCTAAAAGTAATCATAATGTTAATCTGGAACGTTCTAAAAAAACAACCCCATCCTAATTTGAAACATTCTAGTAAAATTTGAACACTTTTACAAAAAAAAAGAAAAAGAAAAAAAGCTGTTGTAAATAAAAAAAAAATGTGTTGAAAACTTTCGAGTTATTAAATATAGGTTTTTCTTCGTGGAAGACTTTTTTGAAGTTTTTTTTTTTTTTAATCTGATTGTTTGATTGACTACCTAAATATATGTTCTACGAGAAGTAAAAGTTTGATGCATATAAGTGTATTAGAAATACCTAAAAAGATTTTTGCAATCCGTTGTAAACTTTTGTGTGACACTGTACATATCTATCTATCTATCTATCTATCTATCTATCTATCTTGTGTGTGTGTGTGTGTGTGTGTGAATCATGATGTAATTTTCATATCTCAATTGATAAAATATTTCGTTCGTTATTTATATAGATTTAAGTTTGTGCATGTTAGATACATTTTCTGAATAATGGTCGGAAGATGATAAGGTAACCATCAACGTCACCTTTTCCCCGCTGGGAATCATGGGCTAAAGCTGTGTGCGTCGTGTAACGGATAGCGGCTCGGAATGAGACAACAGAGAGTCAGGTTCGAATTCTAGTCGAGTTTATTACATGTAAACAATCTTGGAAAAATTAGGAATCCACCTTAAATGGAAGGGCAGATTGGGGTCTATGGCAGTGGTTTGTAACAAGTCGAAAAGAAGAAAATCTCTTTATTCAAAACTAACACTTGTCGATGATCCCCGACAGCAATAAAAATGAGAAGTAAAAAAAAAAAAAGCAAAGTTGTTGATTATGTTCATGAAAGGATTTCCAGATTTTACAAGAATCGTTACTTTCTTTAAAGTATCACAATGATTCCGTTCACAGAAATCTAATTATCCCACTGTACAGAGTTTTATGTTTCTCATAGAATTAAGGTAGAAGCAACCACAAGGCGAAAAGGTGTTCACCCTAGTTGGAAAAGCTCGCCGCCTTAATCAATAACAGAAAGCTGGTCAGTGAAAAAAAATGGCCGTACGTGACAACTTCTTCACTTGTAGCCACGGGACATTCCGGACGCGACTGCTATCCCAGTAAAATAAAACAAAAAGAAACAAACAAACAAAAAACTATATCCGTTTGAGTCAATCAAACGCTAGGACCGACAGTCTGCTGTCATTTGTCGTTCTTTTCATTGCGAGCAATATAATAGCCCATTTGTCGGCGTAAAACCTTACCATCAGCAAAGTCAGATCTTATTGGTGGAGTTTAGAGGAATGAATTAACCCTTTCACTGCGTTATTGCACGCAACCGGGACAGTTACATTGCTCTTTAATATCTACGCAAAATATACGCAACTATGGTAATAACTGTTTTCTTATATGGAAGCATTCGGCATGCACTGGCCGAGCAGCCAGTGTCGGTTGAAATTTATAAAACATTTCTACTAAAACAATATTTTCAGGAAAATAGACTTCGCAACTGTCACCTCTTTCCAGTATCGATGGGGGTCTTCTTTCTTTTCGGACTGATGTGGAAAGTCAACATATTAATTATGTCATTCTTTTCTCTTTGGGTTTTATGTACTATCAATTTTATATGTTGATGCTATTTCAGATCCCTAAAGTTATGTGGTTTCTGTTATTTGGTATAGTTCTTTTTTTTTTTTTTTTTTTTTTTTTTGCAATCCTGCAGCGCCAGTCCACGATGTTTGAAGAAGGGTGTTCCTGGCGATTGAGTTTAAACACCCGCTGAGTGTTGACCACAATGATCTCTTATATATATATATATATATATATATATATATATATATATATAACGTCATCCACAGACAGACTGTTTCGCTGTTTCACAGCTCATCAGTGTGGCTAGACATGCCTCTAGCTAGGATCGAAACCCGACTGAATCTAACCATTAAGCCGTCGGCGCACGGTTGGGATGAAAGTGGATTTTTAGCGTATTTATTTTTAGAAACACGCCCAGTGACCGACAGTGACTCAATTCG